TTTCCCAGCGCCACTTTAGGAATAGCACTGTTAATTAGAACCCAACAGAGAATGATCGAGTCTGCCAAAAACAATATTTTAGGAATGAAAGTAAGAGACTCATGTAGAAGAAAGTTTAAACAATATAAATAATTATTGTTGTTGTTTTTTATGTAGATGGATAGATAGAGCTACTGATAGATTAGCAAAAAGTAAGTCATATTATTCTTTCATGATAAATTTATCTGGTCCAAAAAACAACGCGAAAGTGAAATATTGAAATCAAATTACCAGCCATACTGTGAATTTTTATAACAAATTTTTCATATTTAGAACAAATAAAAGTACAACTTATATATTGCAGTTAATAAAAAAATTGAATTGCATTTTAAGTCAGTAAAAATCTGTCTTAAAAACGTGTCGAAAAATCGAATTATTTAGGTACCTCATGTACGGAATGCTGATATTAAAAGTTGGGTCTGGAAATTTATTTTCTTCAAGAGCCTTTATCTTGAAAACTTAATAAGTGATTTAAAATATAAAAATTAGTTTTAAAAATATATTTTACTTATCTAACCATACCTCGCTGAAATACACCTCATACTGAAACACAGTGTATAAACAAACATAGTGCATTTCACATCCCTTCTTTACCCTTAAACTACGCCTATGACAACAAGTCGATCGCGACACACTTTTTAACCGGGGAGGTTCTCAATTCGTCGTAATATTTTTTTTTATGTATTTTCATCGATAATTCTTTAACATAGTGTCCCATTTCAATGATTCTTTTTTTGTAAGAAAGGGGGTACTTCAGGGGTGGTCCCATATCAATTTGGTCAAAATCTAATAATTAAGTCCTCTATAAAATCTTCAAACTCTTTATTTTTTATGTATGTTTAGCGGTAATTCTTTACCACCTTGTCCGATTTCTATATCATTGTTTTTTTGTTACTAAAAGGGTACCTCAGGGGCGGTACCCTATAAATTTGGTCAAGATGTGGTGATGACATCTACACGATTTTGAAGTTGGTTTTTTAAAATTACTTTTAAGATAAAAAGTAGAACTTATATACAGAAAAGTTGGCCACCCCTGATATATATCACAGTGAAAATGCAAAACGAATACCTCTGAACTCAAATTTAATTAAGACGTTTGAATCAGAGTGTAAAAATGTCCAGGGCGATATTGGAAAGACGATTTTTCATAAATTTTCAAATGTAATTTTAAAAAATGAAGGATTTATTGTTTTAAGAAACCTTGCTAATATTTTTTCTGGTAACTTTGAAGATATTAATACTATTCATCCAGATATTTCAGGAAAATTTAAGTTTGCACCTATTACTTTTGTAGATGTCAAAAGGAGTTTTTCTTTGTACAAGTACATACTTACTGATAGGAGACAATCATTTAATACAGATAATTTAGAAAAACATCTAATTGTTCATTCGTTTTATAATAATGTTGATTTGTAAATAAAATTAGTTAATAATTAAATAATTATTAAGTATTATATTAGGTATTGTAAAATAAAACAAATAATAAATATTAATAAACTATTTCGATCAAATAACAAATTACTCTTATTGCATATGCTCTGCATTTTTCAATTTTTTACGCATATATTGAAGTATTTTGCGGCATATATATGCGCATATTTAACTACTTTTTGGGTGCATCCTAGGTCTGCTTATAACTGTTATTATCCTCTTTAGATATATACAAACATAATTATAAACTAAATAGTCACATTAAATTAAAAATCCGATGCTGAAGCAGCCTGCAGGATGTCGTAGGTACGACTGAATCCATTGTATTCCCTAAGATGCAAAAAAAAAGAAAAATATCTTTGAACAAAACTATATCTAGGTACTTCCGACATTTTATTGTGACATCACACAAGACTATCCTTATTTTGTTTATCTAATTTTATCTGGCTGTTGTAATTACTCAAATCGTATTTTTTCGAGTGACTACTTCAAAAAAACCAGAGATATTATTATTATTATTATTAATCGAACAAAAGAAAGCACAGTGCGATAAAAGATTTTAAATTTAATTCATAAACCTACCAAAATCGTTAATAATAACTTAAAGTCTGTTCAAGGAATTCGACTAATAAATAAATTATTAAACACATAAATCAGAAGTTTCAGAAAGAAAAAAACTTGTAAACCATGAAAGTGTGTGTACCTATATCTTGTATTTCGCGATAATATCACGAATGTTTCGCCAATTTGAATCTAGGTCTCTTTGTGAAAACAAGGATGTTTGCGTGAATCGATTTTTCGTGTAATAATTTAAGTGAAAAATGTCGATCGGTGATTTTAAGGATATAGGATATACGGGGATGTCTCATCCTATCAAAATGTAAGTGTTTTTTTTAATAATATAAATCAACCTTGAAGTTATAACAAAATTATGGAAATACGTATGAATTAAAAGATTGACTGACTTACGTAAGGAATATTTCGAATTTGTCTTCCGAAAATGATTACTAAATATAGATGTTTAAAGAAAACTATGTGATCTGAAAAGGAACTTAGATCATCATCAACATTATATTATTCACTCTAGTAAACGCCTGATAATATAATCAGCTAATATTAAACATCGTAATAAACGTTGAATAATTAATTCACTAAAATTTACTTTTTCTTCTTTTACCTGTCACGATGACCTAATAATATGTTGTTAAGTACTAATTTCTACCACCAGCTCATGATTTGGACTGTTGCTTTATGATACTGTTCTTCTAAAATTTGAATACTTTTTAGTTCATATAAAACGACTGGAACTTTTCTTTTTTTATACTAACTAGGGCAAAATCAGTATAATAGTCAAATAACATTGTTTTTATTTGGATCTATAGCGAGGTCCATTTGTTCATAGCCACAAGATCATATTGACATTTAACAAATGTTTACTTAATGTACATACATCGAGATCAGTACAATAGTCAAATGAAATTGTTTTTATTTGGACCTACAGCGAAGTCGATTTTTCATACCCACAAAATTAGATTGACATTCAGCAAATATTTACTTGATCTATAGCGAGATCAGTACAATAGTCAAATAACATTGTTATTGTTTGGATCTATACCGAAGTCAATTTTTTATAGCCACAAAATTAGTTTGACATTCAGCAAATATTTACTCGATCTATAGCGAGATCAGTACAATAGTCAAATAACATTGTTATTGTTTGGACCTCTAGCGAAGTCAATTTGTCATAGTCACAAAATTAGATTGATATTCAGCAAATATTTAATTGATCTATAGCGAGATCAGTACTATAGTCAAATAACATTGTACTTGTTTGAATCTACAGCAAAGTCCATTGTTTATAGCCACAAAGTCAAATTGACATTCAGCATATATTTATTTTATCTATAGCTAAATCAGTACAGTAATCAAATAATGTTTTTGTTTAGACCTATAGCGAAGTCAATTTTTTATAGCCACAAAATTAGTTTGACATTCAGCAAATATTTACTCGATCTATAGCGAGATCAGTACAATAGTCAAATAACATTGTTATTGTTTGGACCTATACCGAAGTCAATTTGTCATAGTCACAAAATTAGATTGATATTCGGCAAATATTTACTTGATCTATAGCGAGATCAGTACTATAGTCAAATAACATTGTATTTGTTTGAATCTACAGCGAAGTACATTGTTTATAGCCACAAAGTTAGATTGACATTCAGCATATATTTATTTTTTCTATAGCGAAATCAGTACAATAATTAAATAATGTTTTTGTTTGGACCTATAGCGAAGTCAATTTTTCAAAACCACAAAATTAGATTGACATTCAGCAAATATTTACTTGATCTATAGCGAGATCAGTACAATAGTCAAATAACATTGTTATTGTTTGGATCTATACCGAAGTCAATTTTTCATAGCCACAAAATTAGATTGATATTCGGCAAATATTTACTTGATCTATATACAGGGTGGCTCACGCTCAACGGGACGGAGCTTTATGGGAAAACGACCAAAGATATAAAAAATTCGTTTGGGAGGAATACGTAGGTTACAGACGGCTACAATTTAAAATTTGTTAGATGTATACAGGATGTCCCACATAAGAGAAAATATACAAAGTTATATTATTTTTAATGGAACACCCTGTTTTTTATTTTAGAATTAAAAACTACATCAAAAATAATGTCAGTTAAATAAAGGTTCCCTATTACTATAATTATTAGTTTTCGATTTATTTGAATTTTAAGGAAAAAAAGTCTTCCAGAAATTAATTGTTTACTCTTGTTTGAATCATTTTTAATGAACTATTTTTTTTTCTTATGTGGGACATCCTGTATACATCTAACAAATTTTAAATTGTAGCCGTCTGTAACCTACGTATTCCTCCCAAACGAATTTTTTATCTTTGGTCGTTTTCCCATAAAGCTCCGTCCCGTTGAGCGTGAGCCACCCTGTATAGAGAGATCAATATAATGGTCAAATAATATTGTTTTTGTTTGGACCTACAGCGAGGTCAATTTTTCATAAACATAAAGGACATGGTTCCCCGACATTAAAATATTAATACAATACATAAGTCTTTTATTTAGGTCGACCATATGCACAACATTTCGTGGGGGTTAAATAGCTCCCATTTAAAATCTGTGCAAAACTATTACCGAGCAACAATAATAAGTAAGACTTGGGGAGCTAAAAAAAAGCCTTTTATTAGTTTCTGCATGCGCCTTGTATTTAGCTCTAAGCTGAGGACCAAAAAAAAGTCATCACCGCTTTTTGTAGCTAATAAAAAAAGTTCTTTACAATAAATATGCTCAGCCTACTTTTTTTAGTTTTTATTACCCTGACTCTCCTCTTTTTCTAAAATGTTAACGAATAATAACTCGCGTATACATTTTCGTCTGGCCATCCTGTATTTATATACATCTGCATGGTTAAAACAAGCAATAATTATAAAATCAAAATCATTATGAATTGAATGGAAGATATTGTATAGGTACATTGTTGTTTTTTTTTTGTTTTAGAAATCCAACATGGTGGAGGCGGCGGACGAATATGGAGAGGTGCCTCACCTTATCGACAGGCATCGCCCTTCTTATTGGAATCTCATTAGTCATAGCTCTAGCCACAGTTATATGCAGTAGGAATCAAGAAGTTAGTCGTAAGTATAATACACCACCGATCATTTTAGTATTTTCTACGCACGCCACTGTAAATGTCACATAATTTACTGCAAAATCTTAGGTTTATTTTTTTTTGTCCCTGGTCCAGTAATTTTACAAATCTCAAAGTAAATATTGTTTAATAAAACATAGAATATTGACTGTAGCTATTTAAATTTCTATTGAAAAGCAAAGTTAAAGGTTACACTTCCAGTAAATGTTTCTTATAATACACACAACCAAACTTATATGGAATCATCTATTATTTTTCATAATTTTTGAGATGTATGAACATTTTTTGTTTATGAATAACACTCGGTCCTTACTAAAGACTTTTTTTTAATGACAAATAACCCACATGGCTGTAAAAATAATCAATTAGTTCACAAAATAAACACAATGGTATTTTTTTGGTTTCTGAAACGAAATTAGATTTAAATTTTTAATAGCCAAAAAGCAAAAACAAAAAGAAAATTGGTAATTTTTACAGTCCGTGTTACCACCTCTAGCCCTAGCCTAGCTTCTGTTCGACTTGGCATGCTTATTATTAAATTGTCAACATTGTCTTGGGGTATATTTTCTCATTCTGCTAATGCTGCATGAATAAGCTCTGCAACATTTCCTGCATTGTTTCGACGAGACCCTTCTTTTGAGATGGTCCCACAAGTGTTCGATAGGATTTAGGTCTGGTGAATATGCAGACCAGTCTAAAACTGTGACACCTTTCGTTTCAAGACATTCTCTAGCCACTCTGATGGTATGGGGAGGTGCATTATCGTGCATAAAGATAAAATTATTTCCAATTGCAACTCTCCAAAGCCTAACGATTGGTTTTATCACCAAATCAACATATCTCGGACCGGTTAAAGTTTGTTGAAGTGGTAACAATGGAGTTTTTGCTCCCGGCATAATACCTCCCCAGAACATTACAGTTCCTTCTTGACATCTTGGGACAGATCTGGCAGCGTGGAGTTTCGATCATCTTCCTGAAGCTCTAAGAACCCGAATTTAATGATCATCTGATCTTAGACCAATTCTGGACTCATCCGAAAAAAGAACATTTTGCCAATTCTTAATTGTACAGTATTGGTGTTGAAGGCACTAATTTAGCCGGTCAATTTTATTTTGCCTACATAACGGTGGGCACCGTAACTTTCTCCTACAGGAGTGCGTTTAGAAACCACGCACGGCGCGTCTGGACCCTATTCTAATGTATGTGGTGAGACGCGCCGTGCGGGGTTTCTAAACGCACTCCTGTACAACATTCGAGCGCGAAGTCTTTTTCTTAGGGTTTCAACTGAAACGTTCACTCCTGTAGCTTCCAGAAGTTGTTGTTGTAGTTCTGGATGAGAAACACTGGGATTTCTTCTAGCAATTTGCCACACAAAGCGGTCCTGTCGTTCAGTTGTTGTTCTTTGATGACTTTGTCTGGGCCTGTTCGTGAGAGTTTCTAGTTCCAAGTATCTTTCATATGTTTTCGATACAACGCCTTGGGTATCCCCTACTTCCTTTGATATGTCTCATTGGGACATTCCTTGTTCAATGAGAGCAATAATTCTTCCTCTCTGCACATCTATTAGTCCAACATAAGGCATTTTGTTGTTTTTTTTTGGACCGAAATAAAATTACCGGAGGAACGTGATTTTACTTCTGAACACAAAATTTATAGGATAATAAATCGCAGCAGTTGTTTCTTTTTTCTGTATCTATAACGTGTGGAGGGTGGGTTACCCCCCACGGCATTTAGGCCCTATTAGGTCCATTGTGCATCCTCCTGAGATGATAGGCACCCCCTAGCTCGTGAGCCAACCTACAGATTTAATGAAGTTAACAACGTCGCCAAGAGGTGCTTCTCTTATATCGGCCGGTGCTGACCGATACTCGCCGAACAAAAATGGATTCGGATTCTGACAACCCCATGATATGCCTTGTTTGTTGCAGTATTGTCAGGATAACTTAAGAGTTCCCTGGCAACTCTGCAGTTTTTTGTTTCATCCGATCTTTCCTTGAATTTCACAAGGGAATGTTCTTTGATTAGGTCTGTCACTACCGATTTTGTCAGACTAATAGAAGAGCCAGGTCCAAAAAGTATTTGGTTGGCTGCTTTTTTGGCTTTCGATGTGGCGTGACCTAGAATCTATCTTAAGGTGACCACATTGTTGATGGATACTTCGGCCAAAGCTTCGTGATATTCTAGTACTAACAACCCTAAATAAATTCGTGGTTTAGGTTTAGGTTTAGGTTTAAGAATCTGGAGTATATTCTACATCTTGAGCCTTGTTTTGGTTTAGAACCATCGGTATAGATATGAATCATACCTGCCACTTCCGGTTCTTCTATTTGTTCTATTATAACTTTATATGGCTTATGAAAGATATATTTCGGTGAGATGGAGTCCATGTTCGTTTGAAGCAGTGGGAGCGTATCGAGCGCCTCCTGCCAAAAGTGACGTTTCGCCTCACCAGATCCTACATCAGATTCTATTCCGACCGTGTGGAGGCGTGTCATTGTCGTCAGAGCAACCTCCTTGATGTAAATATGTTTCTTCTTTATTATCATGTTTGTTTTGAACGAAAAGCCTTATCTTAAAGTTTGATACCAAATTTTTTTTCTTATAAAAATTTTATTCACAAACACACAGTGATTCCATATAAGTTTGGTTTTGTGTAAATCCATTGTATCAGTGGATGTGTAGCATGTTACACCGTACATGTCACGATAAAGTCTCTGAATTACCCAAAGAGGTTTAGTATTATACCTCCATGGAAATACCCCAAGATAATTCGCTTTCTTTATTTTTTAAATGTAAAATGGATGAAATACAAAGTTCGGGTGGCAGTTATAAATAATTTTGAATTGATCAATTTATTAAATAATTGTATGTTTTGATATTTCAAAAGTTTTTATAAGTATTCAACAAAATGGTGAAACAATTTAGTCATCAATCAAAAACTTTAATCCTAGACATAGTTTCCTATATTAAGAGACACAAATGGCTGCAAAGGCATTAAATATTACGCAGAAAACTAACTATAGACTTAGCAAACCAACAAATTCTTATACAGAGCATGTGAAAATAATATCTAAAAAAGTAAGCAAAGTAAAACAAAAGTCAATTCTTTATATTAACTAAATTGAGGCAAGTTATACAGTGTGTGATAAAGTAAGAACAAAAGTTCTTATTGCATTATTTAACCTTTTCAAGAAAAACGCTCGGACAGGTCAATTTTAATATTTAATTTGCCACCTTATGGCATACATTTTTTACTTATGACGTCATGTATTTTTGCACAGACGTCATCATTGGTTTCTTAAATTACAACCCTATTTTTTTGCTGTTTTAATAAATGGTCCAATTACTTAAATGATGGTTTAAAAAATGGTACTCTTTAATAACAATTTAAAAAAAAATAACTTACCGAAAGAATCAAAATTTAACTTTAATGAAAGAATATCCAAAAGCAAACAAAATTTAGCACAAATGTTCAAATTACTCTTTTTTAACCATTTGGCATTGACCGATATGAGTGTAAATACTTTTTTTGCAAATTTACAAAATTTTCGTAAATTTGACTTCACATTAGTTAAGTGTAAAAGGCGCATTTAGAAAGTTTTTTAAAAGCAAATTATCTTTGTCGTTAACTAAAATATGCCACGTTTAACTGAACGGAAAGAATAGAAATTTTAATAATGGTTGGAATATGGTGATAAGTTAAGAACACATCAGAAAGCATGTTAATTATTCAACCAAGAACACCCTGATAGATCGCCAATTGTAAACAAATTGGTTACAAAATTTACCGAAACTAGATCCGTCCATGATTTGCCTCGGCAAGGTCGGGCCTCCAGTAAACAATGAAACTAGATTAAATGTGTTACTCGAAGCTGAAGAAAACCCTCACCATTATGCAAGGCAGCTAGCCACTAAATAATAATGTGGACCACTCTTTGGTCCTAAGGTTATTCAAGAAAGAGAACTGTCATCCTAATAAGGTTCAATTGATTCACGAACTAAACGAGGATAACCCAGACCGACGCCTGCAGTTTTGCGAAGAACTAATGTTACGCTACCCCAATTTTTAAATAATATCCTCTTTTCCGACCAAGCCACTTTTTGCCTGAATGGAACATTACATCGTCATAATTGCAGGTATTGGCCAAGAAAAAAATCCTCACTGGACTCAAGACTCTTACAGTCAACGCCAAGGGAAATAAAATGTTTGGATTGGAATAATCGGACGACGTTTAATAGGGCCTTATTTTTTGAAGGAAACCTTACATCAGCACGTTATTTGGCCATTTTACGGTTTGATTTAGTTCCAGCTCTGTTAGTTATATTTCCAAATGATCATGAAGCAAATGTACCCCATCAGAATATTTTGGTTCAACAAGATGGGGCGGCTCCCCACTTCGGAATAACCGTCCGTCAATATCTTGACGCCACATTTCCCGGAAAGTGGATAGGACGTCGATGAACAATTGAGTGACCAACGCGGTCCCCAGACCTGACTCCCTAAGATTTTTTTCTGTGGGGTTATTTAAAATCAAAGCTGCATTATAATGGGCCAAATAATTTAGATGAGCTACGGCAAACAATTCGCGCTAAAGTGGAGCACATTACACCTGAAGTTCTTGAGCGAAGTGTACAGTGTTTACACTCGTATTGGTCAGTGCCAAATGGTTGAAGGAAAGCAATTTGAACATTTACGCTAAATTTTGTTTGTTTTTGAAGTGTTATTTGGATTTTCCTTTCATTATAGTTAAATTTTGATTTCTTTCGGTAAGTTACAGTTACATAAACGATTTTCGAAAGAAATGTCTGATGTGACATGTTATGCATGGTCAATTTTTGAAAATTTTTAACAAGGAGATAGAGCTGGATAACTTTGAGCCTGTATTTATGGATGAGACGTGGATTATCTTTAAAAGTTCTACAAAATCCAATGTTCAGCTGGGACATTTATTTATAAAGTACGAAAGTAAATTATTCTAATATTTGTAGACAAAATGTAAAACGTAATCTTAATTTTTTCAAAGTGACTTTTTGTATTTGTGTAAACGCACCTTAATAAAGTTTTTGCTGCTAAGCAACAACAAAGCGTAACTAAAAACCCACTACTTACTTAAATATTAGGTTTTTATAATGTTTCAAGATAATTTCAAAATTTCAATACATTTTGTCGACAATTTGTAATTTTTTTGTGTAGATAACAAACGCATTAATGAAAAAATAATAATACATCGTTAAAATCAGTTTAGGAAAAAATAACAAATCATTTTCGAATTAAATTGTACCTACTTATTAAATAGGTATAGGTACTAATCTAGAAGGATTGTAAGAATCAAATTAGTGCTAGATAGTACGTACTATAGAGTAACTAGTTTCCTGATAACGAAAGAAACACACCAGATTTGTACATTTACTAAATACGATACGGTTAGAAAGTTAGTCAACAACTACAAACTATTTCGTATTTGTTTTATTGTTTTGATTGGTATTGGTAAAGGCATTATAGTTAATGACCCAAGAACTCATCAGGCTTTCAAGCGTAAAGCATTTCAATTACATTATGGGTTTCAATTGAATTTTAAATGACCCAAGTGTGCTCGCTTTTTTTATCAATCATTTAGAATTGTTAAGTAGTTTATTTTTAAACATAAACTCGTGTAAGTGGGTAAATACGTACATTTAATATTTAAAAAAAAAATAATAAAAGTATCTTCATTAATGATTAATAATTATTAATATCAAATTAAAAAAAAAAGAGAGGGATGTATACCTGATTCTTTAGTAAAGTCTATAGAAAATAATTTATTGTACAAACAGCCAAAAATAGATTGTAAAATTGCAACAAAATTAGAGACGCCGCAAAAATAATTTATCAAGATATACAGGGTGGGCCTTCTAAAATGCCTAATGACATGTGTGTACTTAGACCAAGCATTTCCACGAAGGTGGATTGGTAGAAAGAGTGCTATTTAATGACCACCAAGATCTTCAGATTTGTTTCCGTTAGATTTTTTGTGGGGACATCTAAAATCTAGTATTATAACACCAGAAATGCTCCTTAATGTCAAAAATCAATTTAAAGAGAACTTGTATCACAATTTTAATTTCAAGTTCGTAAATGAAAAGAATAAATTTTAAATTTAACATGTCAAAATGACATCTCATGAGGCATCACTGCAAAGATAATTGAAAGACCTTTCAAAAAAGGTGTCACTCAACCCCACTTTCCATTAGGGGTGTACAGCACCCTGTTCAAGGGGTTAAAGATAGAGGTTTGGAAATAAGTCTAGGATTTCCCCTCGGAAAATAAATTTATGTGCTCAAGCGATTTTTTAATGACATTAATAATCCTAAACTTGAACCTTGAACCGTTTCGTTTTCGTTGGTCCACTCTGTATAAAAAAAAAATCCAGAAATTGGTCTTTATAGAATAAGATTGCAAAATATTTAAGAACATGACTACTCCTACATAACTTAAAAAAAATGCCTAAACAATCATCACGAATCTTGAAGAATGTTATGCTTTTCTCAGGGTTTTTCCTAATCAGTATACAATGTACTATTATTATTGCGTTTTAAAATATATATCCTTTGAAATTTCTTATTTTTGACATGTTAAAATATGTAGAATAACATTTATATAGGGTTTTATACAGAGTTTTATATAGTTTTATTAAAAGGTTTTATACGAGGTTTTATTTTGGACTTTATACAGTTTTATTGCAAAAATACACCCTTGTGTTTTCCTCAAAATATTCAAAAATACATGTTTTATAAAGAGTTTTATGCAGGGTTTTATTTAGGGGTTTATAAAGGGTTTTATGCAGATTTTTATACAGAATTTTATACAGAGTTTTATACAGAGTTTTGTACAGAGTTTTATAAAGGGTTTTATGACGAGTGTTATGACGAGTTTTATTAAAGGTTTTAGACAAGCTTTTATAAAGAGTTTTATACCTAATTTTATACAGCATTTTTTACACAAGATTTTGTAAAGGGTTTTATAAAAAAAATTTATACAAGATTTTATAAAGTGTTTTATACAGGGTTTTTATAGTTTTATTAAAAAGTTTTATACATGGTTTTATTTTGGATTTTGTACAGTTTTATTGCAAATATACACCCCTTTGTTTTCCACAACATATTCAAAAATTAGTTTTATACAGGGTTTTATGCAAGGTTTTATGTAGGGTTTTATGCAGAGTTTAATACAGAATTTTATACAGTTTTATAACGGAGTTTTATAAAGAGTTTTATACAGAGTTTTATACAGGGTTTTATAAAGGGTTTTATGCAGAGTTTTATAAAAGGTTTTAGACAGGCTTTTATACAGAATTTTATACAGCGTGTTATAAAGAAAGAACCCCGCACAAATCTTATGGAAATTGGCTCCCGGTCAAATTGGCTGAAATTTGGATATGTTGTTCATTTCGGCATCCTGAGTAAAAGTCTCAATGGACACAAAGCTCAATTTTGCTTATTTTGGCTCCTACGGAGCTCCAAAGCTCCACGAATTAACCATTACTACTTAAAAAGGCAATCTCTTCGAAAGTTTAGTATTTGCTGCGTTAAAAAAGAAGTACCTTCTTATGTTTTTGGGGTCGCTGCATTCAAATCCAATGCCAATATAATAATATTGACAGTTGACAGCTGTCAACTAGCTGTCACATAACAAGCAATAATCAAAATTGAAAAATCCACATGTAAATATCTGTCTTTGAGGCAGCTGAGTTCAAAACTGATGTTAACAACTCGATATTGATAGGTGACAGCTGTCAAAAGATTTTGTAAGCGGTTTTATACAAAATTTTATACACGGTTTTATGAAGGGTTTTATACAGGGTTTTATATAGTTTTATTAAAAGGTTTTATTTTGGATTTTATACAGAGTTTTATTGCAAAAATATACCCTTTTGTTTTCCTCAAAAATACGTTTTATAATGGGTTTTATGCAGAGTTTTATGAAGGGTTTAATGCAGAGTTTTATACAGAATTTTATACAGTTTTATATCTCAAAATATTTAAAAATACGTTTTATAAAGGATTATATACAGAGTTTTATGAAGGGTTTTATACAGAACTTTATAAAAGGTTTTAGATAGGTTTTTATACAGAGTTTTATACGGGGTTTTATAAAGAAATATATTAAATGGGTTTATACAGTGTGTTATACAGGGTTTAATTCAGGGTTTTATAAAAGGTTTTGGAATTATTTTATACATGGTTTTCTAAAGGGTTTTATAAATTTTATATAGGGTTTTATAAAGAGTTTTATTTTATTTAAAGGTTTTATATAAGGTTTTATTTTGGATTGTATACAGAGTCTTATTGCATAAATATGCACTCTTTTGTTTTCCTCAAAATATTCAAAAATACGTATAAAGGGTTTTATGCAATGTTTTATATAGCATATAAAGTTTTATGCAGAGTTTAATAACGGAGTTTTATATAGGATTTTATAAAGGTTCTTATACAGAGTTTCATAAAGAGTTTTATAAACGATATTAGACAGGGTTTTATACAGAATTGTATGCAGGGGAGTATACAGGATTTTATAAAGTTTTATAAAAGGTTTTAGACATGATTTTATAGAGTTTTATAAAAGGTTTTAGACATGATTTTATACAGTTTTGTACAGGGTTTTCTAAAAGGTTTTATATAAGATTTTATACAGGGTTTTCTATTTGTTTTAGTGCAATAACACATCTTTTTTGTTGTTTTCAGATAGGCCGTATACAGCAGAACCTTTACAAGGGAAAATAGTAACGATTACTTCACCGGATCAAGACGAACCCGAGAAAGTATGTCTAACTGCAGGCTGTATACACACCGCGTCTCGGGTCTTGGAATATATGGACGAAACTGTGGATCCGTGCGACGATTTCTATCAATTCACGTGTGGGAATTTTATCAAGACTACCAATATCCCTGACGATAAATCGTCAGTAACTTCCTTCAGTATTATTAACGATATGTTGATGGAGCAGTTGAGGACCATGATCGAGGAACCCGTCCAGGAAAACGAACCTAAACCTTTTAAGGTAATTTTCTATACAGTTATCAACATATATATCGAGGTCGTTTTGTGCAATTTCGTAAGATTGTTTAAAGAATTTGAAATCTTAAGGGCGGGTTATACAAAAAAATGCTGTTTAGGTAACAGGAGTTTAATTTTTAACTAGTTAAATTCAACGTGCAAATGTCATTTTTAAATTTATATTTATCAATAACCGATGATTATACTACGAGGTTCAGTTTAAACTAAGATCAGATCTGCCTATTATACAACCTGTCCTAAGAGGTTCACAGTTTAAACTAAGAAAACATTTTAACTGCTTATTATACAACCCGCCATTAGTCTATTAAAATTTTTAAAAAATCTGTTTTTATTAATTAAACCATTTTTCTTAGAGATTTAACATTCTTGTTATAGAACTTATTTAATTATATTTCGTATATTCGTGTCTACAATAATACTTAAAAATATACCCATTATAGTCCAATAATACCAAATTTTAATACAAAAATGATATAAATAATATACATTTATACATGAAAATTTAAATTTATCATGATATCTTGAGACATTTCACAAAGTTATAGCAGGTAATCACTTTTCAAGGATGTTCGTTAAATTTATAATTTATTGTTAAAAAGTAACGTTTATTGATAAAAATGTGGTGTGGACATTTAAAAGGCATAATTGAAAATCAAAATAACTGGATAGATTGCGAATTAGCATTAATAAATTGTTTATGATTTGTAATAATTGGTTGCTTGGTTTAACAGTGACCGGGGTTTAGGCAACACTCCTAACAATATTAAAATTTGTAATTATTTATAGTTTATCTTCTTTACTGGGTATTCCCAGGTATTTTTTGGATATTGTCGAGAATTTTCAAGTCACAGGTGATTTAAAAATGTAATAAGTTCTGATTTGTAAGGCTTCTTAAAAATTTTTATTCAGGTTTGAAAACTAGAAGCTTTGAAGAGTTGTTATGGAGAAATTAACCGTTGTCCAAATAGTCGCTATTGTGGAATTATATTTTGAACACCATAGATCAATTACAAAAACTCAAAGAGCGTTACAAAAACTCAAAAAGCGTTTCGCAAACTTTTCTATGCAAGAAATTATCTTTCGAAAATGACTATAGGGCAATTTAATTGACCGTTTTCGATTGCGTATAGTCATTTCTCAAGGTGGAATTTCATGCTTTGAAAAGAATGCAAAACGCTTTTTGAGTTTCTGTAATTGATTGATGGTATTCAAAATAGAGTTCCACAATAGTGACTCTTTGGGCAATGGTGAATTTCTCCATAGCAAATCTCCCAAGCTTCTAGTTTCCAAATTTGAAACAAAAATTTTAAAGTCTTACAAATCAGAAGTTATTACATTTCTAATCCACTAGTGACTTTTGGGACATCCTGGTATTACCACGTAATCTCTGGTGTTCCCACTTATTCTCTCTCTAGACTCTAGATATTCCAATGGATTTTCGGGATATTCCCAGACATTCTCTTAAGTATTTTTTAAGTATTTCCTGCGTGCTGCTAGGTAATTTTTGTGTGTACACAATTTTTTGGATGTGTTTACCTTAATAATCGTATAATTTTTGTTTCAGCTCACCAAGAAATTATACAAGGCGTGCATGAACAAAACTCTTATAGAAGAGGAAGGAATGACCACGATTAACGATATTCTAAAGCAACTTGGTGGATGGCCCGTATTAGAAGGCAAGAATTGGAACGAACGTGAATTCGATTGGAAAACGTCTGTTTCTAAATTCAGAACCGTCGGATACGGCGTCGATTATTTTATTGATTTTTCCGTCGTGAGTGATGTTAAAAATTCTACGAGAAGGGTTATTGATGTAAGTACAGGTTGTATTAAAAAACGAGTATATTATTGAATTGAATTTTTAAATACATTGGAAAACCGAATACATCTATAAAAATAAAATAGTCTGCATTTGGAATTAAAATTTTTAAATATTTCAAATATGCTTCAGCGAAAACTTCTGATATAAATCTTATTATTTAAATTCGAATTTTACTTATGGTTGGGGAATTAATATACCTTTATGAACTGAATGGTACCTCAAAAAATGTCTAGTAATGTACTAAAATAGCTTGGTTTTTTTGCCACAAGAACACAATGAAATCAATTCATGCATGTTTTTCTTGAAATGTATGTAAAAACAATACGAAGAAGCAATCGGTAATCAACCTTGGTAAATCATCATATTATTAATTACAGCACCTGAACATAACAACATTATTTTAGATATATTAATCAAATATAATCCTTTCTATTAATTATTTATTATAAACAAGAATTTATATTTTTTTTATAAATAAAAATAGTAATTTATTTTTTGTACAATAATAATTTGAAAAATGAATTGTCGGAGATCTTTCTTTTGATAATCGATGATGAACAACATGTTTTTTAATAGATAAATCATCAATGTTAGTAATTTGATGTTTATCAGCATGATATTATTTTCCAATTTGGTCTCAATCTGTAAAGGCTTAGATAATAAAAAATACATTCATTACCATTTAAACTAAATATTTTAGGTTTCTCAGATCTCTCGCTTGTATGGATTACATAGCTATTTATGCAACCGGTTACGAGTGAATATTTGCAGGACGAGCAAAACGACGTCCCGCAACATGAATAAATTACATAAAACGGCATTTTGTAACGTGTTACATACAATATTTTTTCCAATTTTGACTAGATTATTTATAAAATTGTGTTTTGGTAAAACATTAGTAACATCTATGCAACCAATATTACTTTCGTGTATTGTTAGTTACATATGCATCATTTTATTGGCAGATAGATTATATTAATTATTTATTCCCAACGACTTGTAAAGTGTTTAAATTGCCTATTAAAGGTATTTAGATTTAAAGAAAGTGGGATATATTATCGTGTATTGTTTTAATTATTTTGTACTGATTTAGAATGGAAAATAAGAACCAAAATAACATTATTTCTAAGTTGTAAGTTTAACCAAATTTTATTTTTATAAGTCAACTTGCTTTTCTTTGATATAAACTTTCAATAATAATGTATATATTGATTTTTAAAACCAACTTTTCGCAACTGATGACATAATGAATTTTTCATATCCACTTTCACAATGTTCTAGCTCAAACGGTTGTCAAGACATTTAACAAAAACCCTGATGGGTCCAATCATAAAAAAATCTGACAAAACTTTAAAAAACAATTAAAAATATGTATCAATAGATTTGTATTATTAAAGTAAATATGAAAATATTTTTCCTTTGTATGTTTATGTTATATGTTATGGTATAAGTGTTCAAATTAAAGTGTTACAGTTTTTTGGGAATACATTTTTGGCTAAAATCGTTTTTTATAGCTAACCATAATATGACCAACTTTTTTCCGCGCAGCAAAATTTTTAAGTAGGTGTTACTCAATAAGTAAAAGTCCAATTAAAAAATGTTTCCTTTAAAAGTTACTTATTTTTTATGAAAAAGTTTACCTCGATATGGCCATATTATGGTCAGCAATAAAAAAATTAATTTAGCCAAAAATGTTTCCCCCAAAAAACTATAAAACTTTTGTCTGAAACTTTTTTTTATAAAATGCATATTTTCGGCGGTATTTAACTGTAACACTTTAATTTGAATACCCGGTATATTGTAGTCATGCAGTATAATAAATGAACCTATGTTTATTTTAGTTGGACCAAGCATCTTTAGGATTAAGAAGAGAATTTCTGATAAAAGGCTTTGAAGATAAGATAGTGAAAGCCTATTACGATTACATGGTGGACTTGGCTGTTCTTTTCGGCGCCGACAGGCAGAAGGCCACTACCGAATTAAAAGCCTCGCTAGAATTTGAAATGCAACTGGCAAAGGTAATTTTTCATTCATATTACATTTTTATCTTATGATGTTATGTATGGATTAATTATTAGCTTAATTAATTATCTTAATTATCTTAATTATCTTAATTATCTTAATTATCTTAATTATCTTAATTATCTTAATTATCTTAATTATCTTAATTATCTTAATTATCTTAATTATCTTAATTATCTTAATTATCTTAATTATCTTAATTATCTTAATTATCTTAATTATCTTAATTATCTTAATTATCTTAATTATCTTAATTATCTTAATTATCTTAATTATCTTAATTATCTTAATTATCTTAATTATCTTAATTATCTTAATTATCTTAATTATCTTAATTATCTTAATTATCTTAATTATCTTAATTATCTTAATTATCTTAATTATCTTAATTATCTTAATTATCTTAATTATCTTAATTATCTTAATTATCTTAATTATCTTAATTATCTTAATTATCTTAATTATCTTAATTATCTTAATTATCTTAATTATCTTAATTATCTTAATTATCTTAATTATCTTAATTATCTTAATTATCTTAATTATCTTAATTATCTTAATTATCTTAATTATCTTAATTATCTTAATTATCTTAATTATCTTAATTATCTTAATTATCTTAATTATCTTAATTATCTTAATTATCTTAATTATCTTAATTATCTTAATTATCTTAATTATCTTAATTATCTTAATTATCTTAATTATCTTAATTATCTTAATTATCTTAATTATCTTAATTATCTTAATTATCTTAATTATCTTAATTATCTTAATTATCTTAATTATCTTAATTATCTTAATTATCTTAATTATCTTAATTATCTTAATTATCTTAATTATCTTAATTATCTTAATTATCTTAATTATCTTAATTATCTTAATTATCTTAATTATCTTAATTATCTTAATTATCTTAATTATCTTAATTATCTTAATTATCTTAATTATCTTAATTATCTTAATTATCTTAATTATCTTAATTATCTTAATTATCTTAATTATCTTAATTATCTTAATTATCTTAATTATCTTAATTATCTTAATTATCTTAATTATCTTAATTATCTTAATTATCTTAATTATCTTAATTATCTTAATTATCTTAATTATCTTAATTATCTTAATTATCTTAATTATCTTAATTATCTTAATTATCTTAATTATCTTAATTATCTTAATTATCTTAATTATCTTAAGTATCTTAATTATCTTAATTATCTTAATTATCTCTATTATCTTAATTATCTTAATTATCTTAATTATCTTAATTATCTTAATTATCTTAATTATCTTAATTATCTTAATTATCTTAATTATCTTAATTATCTTAATTATCTTAATTATCTTAATTATCTTAATTATCTTAATTATCTTAATTATCTTAATTATCTTAATTATCTTAATTATCTTAATTATCTTAATTATCTTAATTATCTTAATTATCTTAATTATCTTAATTATCTTAATTATCTTAATTATCTTAATTATCTTAATTATCTTAATTATCTTAATTATCTTAATTATCTTAATTATCTTAATTATCTTAATTATCTTAATTATCTTAATTATCTTAATTATCTTAATTATCTTAATTATCTTAATTATCTTAATTATCTTAATTATCTTAATTATCTTAATTATCTTAATTATCTTAATTATCTTAATTATCTTAATTATCTTAATTATCTTAATTATCTTAATTATCTTAATTATCTTAATTATCTTAATTATCTTAATTATCTTAATTATCTTAATTATCTTAATTATCTTAATTATCTTAATTATCTTAATTATCTTAATTATCTTAATTATCTTAATTATCTTAATTATCTTAATTATCTTAATTATCTTAATTATCTTAATTATCTTAATTATCTTAATTATCTTAATTATCTTAATTATCTTAATTATCTTAATTATCTTAATTATCTTAATTATCTTAATTATCTTAATTATCTTAATTATCTTAATTATCTTAATTATCTTAATTATCTTAATTATCTTAATTATCTTAATTATCTTAATTATCTTAATTATCTTAATTATCTTAATTATCTTAATTATCTTAATTATCTTAATTATCTTAATTATCTTAATTATCTTAATTATCTTAATTATCTTAATTATCTTAATTATCTTAATTATCTTAATTATCTTAATTATCTTAATTATCTTAATTATCTTAATTATCTTAATTATCTTAATTATCTTAATTATCTTAATTATCTTAATTATCTTAATTATCTTAATTATCTTAATTATCTTAATTATCTTAATTATCTTAATTATCTTAATTATCTTAATTATCTTAATTATCTTAATTATCTTAATTATCTTAATTATCTTAATTATCTTAATTATCTTAATTATCTTAATTATCTTAATTATCTTAATTATCTTAATTATCTTAATTATCTTAATTATCTTAATTATCTTAATTATCTTAATTATCTTAATTATCTTAATTATCTTAATTATCTTAATTATCTTAATTATCTTAATTATCTTAATTATCTTAATTATCTTAATTATCTTAATTATCTTAATTATCTTAATTATCTTAATTATCTTAATTATCTTAATTATCTTAATTATCTTAATTATCTTAATTATCTTAATTATCTTAATTATCTTAATTATCTTAATTATCTTAATTATCTTAATTATCTTAATTATCTTAATTATCTTAATTATCTTAATTATCTTAATTATCTTAATTATCTTAATTATCTTAATTATCTTAATTATCTTAATTATCTTAATTATCTTAATTATCTTAATTATCTTATCTTATTTTCGTTATTATTGTTATTCTAGATATCGCTACCTAGCGAAAAAAGGCGTAACATGACCGCTTTGTACAATCCCATGTCTATTGAACAGCTCCAAGAAAAATTCCCGAGTATCCCATGGGTCGAATATATCAATAACCTTCTTGCTCCTGATACTCATGTCGAAACTGGTGAATTGATTATTGTAAATGTTCCTTCTTACTTGAAGTCTTTTGAATTGTTGGTGGAGAAGACTCCCAAAAGGTAAGTTCAATGATTTTCTTTCTATTTATTCAGAAATGCATTTAAACCTGAATGTATAAATAATTAAATTTTTGTAACTTTGAAAATCTATTGCCTACAATCATAATTATCTAATTGATGACTTGGATAATTTTTCATACTGTTTGTTATTTCATATAGTGTCAATTTAACTTTGTTTTACATGTTGATATTTTTTTAATAAAAATATTATTTAATGATACAGATTTTGTATTTGATTCTTTTTTGAAAAGAAAGTTTATATTTTTCAGAGCAAATATAAAAAATAAACTAAAAATTCATCGAATTTTCAGCTATGTATGATTATTTAAAGTCATATATATCTTCCCTTAACTTCTAACCGTCATAACTCTATTAATTTTAATAATAGCAAAAAATTCCAAATATCATTTTTATGTAAAACTTTATGCTTTACAATTTTTATTACGAACTTTTTTTTATAGCACCTACCGTTTTCAAATAACCCTAAAAAACACAATTTCTCGGTGCCTGAAAAACAAATTTCTTTCGCATATCGTTTTCTAAAACTCGAAAGTAACTTATATCAAAAATTCCTATATATATATTCCAAAATTTTGATATGAAGGTCTATTTGATTGAACTATTAATATCGATTTCTTTTTTCGCCATTTTAGAGTGCAAGCTAACTACGTCATGTGGAGAGCAGCAGCTAATTCTGTATCGTATCTAACAGATCGACTCAGAAAAAGACAATTAGATTACACGTCTGTAATTACTGGCAAGACCGAACGGGAACCCAGATGGAAGGAATGCATTGACATTACCTCAGGAAGGTAAGAATTAATCATAGTACATTATGGAACTTTTAATTTTAAACAACAAAATATGATTAGTTTGTCTATAGCCGCTGGCGCCCTCTACGTCAGAAAATACTTCAACGAACAAGCTAGAAAGAACGCTCAAGAAATGGTGAAGGACATTCGATCGCAGTTCGAAGAGATTCTCAAAGTGGTCGATTGGATGGACGATGAAACCAGAATGAACGCTTTGGATAAGGCGAAATCTATGACGACGCATATCGCTTACCCGGATGAATTGTTGGATGATCAAAAATTGATCGAATTTTACGATGGAGTAAGTAAAATAATTCGTATTTCCTTTAGCTAAAATAGTAAGTTTTAAGAGGGGAGGTTGCTCGTTTTGTGATTTTAAAATAGTATCGAAAATAATAAAGATTACTTTATTTGAGCACTACTAACAATGCAATTTTTAAAAATTCCATGCTTAATACTATTATCTTTTATACTATACGAAAGTTAGTAAGAAAATCGCGAAAAACTGGTTTTAGTTTATTCGAATTGAGAGACTTTAGCAGCAAGAAAAGTCAAATTTCGGGAGAAGTCAGTAATTTTAAACAGTTTGGCAACAGCGCAAGAACCTAATTCCTATAACTCGCATCAAGCAAAGCACTATTTATAGGCCGGTAAATTAATTTTACATTGCTATTAATGTTAAATTGTACTATTTATGTGTCTCTATTTTATTTACTGGTCTACTAGATGCAAAGCGAACTATAAATAGCTGTGCAGCGTTGCCACATTTAGTAGATTTCTACTTTTTTAAGTAGATTTCAGATTTTTTAGCTAGTTCTATACTACGTTTGAAATGTACCTCCTCGAACAGAGCAAGTAGGTTTTTTGGTTACGTGATATCGAGCAAACCATATCAATGGAGCAAACGGAGAAAAAAGAGCGGTCTCGAGTAAAAACAAAACAGGTACTTTTCAAACGCAGCACAAGTAGACAATTTTTTTTTGGGTAGATTTTCGTAGATTTCTGTAAATTGTATTTATTGCATGTGGTTTTCTTTTCATTTTCAGTTGGAAATTAGTTCGGAAAAATACCTGAAGTCTGTTTTGAATCTCACATTATTTGGCACAAGATTTTCATTCAAACGTTTGAGACAACCTGTAAACAAAACCGACTGGATCACTCATGGAAGGCCTGCTGTCGTCAACGCTTATTATTCCTCAATTGAAAACAGTATTCGTAAGTATTAAAAATTGCAGTCATACATCCCAGCAAACATTTTTTGCAGGGTAATAAAAGGCCCAATCACTGTTACCCTCCAGTTGTAAAGATGGCTATTTAACTTTTATAATTAAAAGGCCGGCATATATAGGTCACTACGGCCGACACTCGGGCTGAAGTCACTTAGCCATTAAATCCAGTTCCCTTCATTTTCCCTTTAATGTCTAAAAATAAATATATTGGCAATTAATGGCCTATTGATGGGAAGTTAACGGAAAAATTGCTGGCCTTTTACCATATTAATACTGACTGCTGAATAAAGGTCATGTGTCAGGCATATGACCAGACAGGATATATTCGATAGTATCGTTTGAACTATAAATTCTATTCTAAATACAAAAAGAGAAGGCATTTCAATGTAGAATATTGTAAACATTTTATTTAATTCAACTATATAATATAATAATACAGAAAAATGTATTCTTCAAAAAAATTATTCATAAAGTATTCTAAATTAACATGTAAAAGTAAAAAATACAATGAATACTGAATAGTGAATACCAGCAATGCGAGATGGCTGGCCTCATAGTACATGTCCACTCGTTGAGTATGTAACAAACGATCATCGGTGACTATAATATGCTTTTACCCAATACAGCTACTTACCCTTCATAAGGCCATCATCAAGCAACATAATGCTGGGCGACTATCGAAAGGCTAAAAGTAGGCTTTTATCTTTTAATCGTCGCATTCATTTTACCTTCAATTACAGCAGAAGGCCAGCAATATTCCGGCAATTTATTGTTTGTTGGGATGGTGGGCTACTGGTATCGTCTCGTATTGTAGAGCCAAAACTAATGAATTTTTTTAAATCATTATGATTGTTTGGACTCATATATGTACCGAATTATAACTGTGGCCTGAATTATAGTATAACCAGCATATCAAGAATTTTATATTTAATTTTTAGAATTCCCAGCCGGTATTCTACAGGGTGCTTTTTTCAACGCTGACAGACCACGTTACATGAATTACGGAGCTATCGGCTTCGTGATCGGTCACGAAATCACCCACGGCTTCGATGACCAAGGTAGACAGTTCGACAAAAATGGTAATCTAGTCGATTGGTGGCAGGAAATAACGAAAAAACGATTCGTCGAAAAAGCCCAATGCATCATCGATCAGTATGCAAATTACAGTGTCCCGGAACTCGGTTTAAACGTAAGTATTACAATTTTATGGGTATATATTCGTCGGTACACAAGAATAGTGGCGCAACACAAAAAATTTTTTGTTTTCTGGCTTTTTAAAAATGTTTAAATATTTTTTGGGAATAAACATTAGTGTTCACTTTGTATTTAAATAATAACAAGTTTGTTTTGATAAAATTCAGAAAAAAACAAAAATATTACATTGAGTTATGACAATCTTTCAGATGAGTATATTTTTCACCATATTGATAATAACATCTTTTCAACAAGAATGTCCTAATTTGACTTGTGTCACTGTTGAAAAAATATTCTTAGAAATTTAACAAGTCGATTTGTGTTACTCTTCATTATCATAAACTCCCGAATTTGTAGTACGGGAAGAACGACACAACTATTTTTGAACATTATTAAACTATGCAGATATTGCTATACATTTTCAAAATAAGTTCGAAAATAGCAACTTTTAAGTTGCGTCGCTATTCTTATAACCAACGCTACGGTATATTCGGTGGTGGTAGGCAGTTATGTAAATATTTATAAAGGGTGTGAGGGAATAAATTCTTTTTAAAAATGTCTGGATTGATGTTAAATAAATTTTATTAAGTGTAGATTTTAGAAAAGGTTTTGAAATAAATAAAAACAACTGATACAGAATCGTGTTATCAGTTGTTTGTATCTTGGATAAGTAGTATTTATAAAAAAATGAATTGGATATGATTAATATTAAAATGAGTGTACCAGGTAGTTTAAAGTTGTACTGCTATATTAAAAAATACTATAGTTGAATCAAGAAATAATAGACAGTAATGGTATGTATGAAGAACGCTGTTATGGCATTGCTTGAAGGGTACGATTGAATCTAGAGTATATTTTTTAATTGCAGGTATTTTATAGTGTATGTATCAACTCTGTCAGCATTCTTCCTATGTCAAAAAAGGCGCAGCAGAGCACTTAATATTTTAATAATTAGAATATGTTTGAACCATATATCAACTAATATTCTACCAGGCCAATACGAATGATCTCTGTGAATCAGAGACGAAAAATTATGAGTAAAATAGTTAGAGAGAGAGAAAGAGAGATCATATGTTTATTGTCCAAGTTAAAATACTTATTGACAAACACAATATTGTTATATAAAACGCAAATAAATAAATAGTTAATAAAATATAAACAAACATTATTATAAATTAACATTAACGCATACATCTAAAATAAAATAGAACAAAACAAAATAAAACACATATCACAAGTGTCTCGTCATTATAAAATTCTGTAATATCATAATAAGGTTTAGTTAACAAAAATCTCCTGAGCAGCTTTCTAAAACAATTCTGCGACTCAACATCTGTCAAAGTATGTGATAGCCTGTTGTACATCTTGATACCATTGTATATAAAAGAGCCTCTTATTAGTTCAGTTTTGGGAATAGGCAACTTCAAGTTACCCGTTTGGCGAGTTACACAGGATATATTCGATTTATATTTCGACTTGTTCTTATAGATCATGCAACAAGTTTCTAAGATAAATAATGAAGTTAATGTTAATATTTGTTTTAAAACCAGCGGTCTACATGAAACTAATCTGTGTAAGAACCTAATTGCCTGTTTCTGCATTATAAAGACTCTACCAAATAACTTGACTGAATAGCATAACGTAAATTGGAGTCAACTAACGCATAATATGCAGTTTTTGCTGCACAAACTCCTAATTTATGAGAGGTAGTTCTAATGGTATAACATCCGATGCGAGTTTTTTTATAAAAGGTTCCACATGAGATTTGAATTTCAAATCCGTGTTGATATTTAAACCCAAAAATTTTGTAGTCTATGGCTTCGACAGTACCCATATCTATTGAAATATCAGGAAAATTACATTTAAAGGTTAGTATTTTTGTTTTCTTAAAATTTAATGACAGAAAATTTGCCGTGCACCATGTTTTAAAGGATTTGAGGTCATTACTAATATTTGCATAAAGAATATTGACGTCTTTATTATTTCACAAGAAAGTAGTATCATCAGCAAATAGAGTGAAACTTCCTGAGATATTTAACTTACCTAAATCATTAATATAAATTAAAAACAGGGTGGTCCCAAGAACAGAACCTTGAGGGACACCCCATTTTATCTCACTTGTTTTCGAATTTGAAACAGTTCGGACTAACTGTTTACGACCTAAAAGGTAGGATTTCATCCAACTCAAGGCCATAAACTTCAAGCTTTCGCAGCAGTCAAAAACTTTAATCGGATCAAAAAATACTGCAGCTACGGCCTCGTTGAAATTTATACTAGCATAGGCTAATTTCATACAAGAAGAGACAGCATCCGATATGTTTTTGTTGTGTCCAGTTTATTATTTTGGTCTAGATATCTAACTAGTCGAGTTTTTGCAAGTTTCTCAATAATTTTTCCCAGTGTCGGAATTAGAGATATGGGTCTAAAATTAGACGGCTCAGTTAAGTCTCCTCCCTTATATTGGGTGTTCAAATTAAAGTGTTACAGTTAAATACCGCCGAAAATATGCATTTTAGAAAAAAAGTTTCAGACAAAAGTTTGGCTAAATTCATTTTTTTATAGCTGACCATAATATGGCCATATCGAGGTGAACTTTGTTTTTTTAAATGGGAATCCCATTTTTCTTTTACATATTCTTAAAGTACATAAAAAAATAAGAAACTTTTGATGGAAATATTTTTTTTATTGGACTTTTACTTTTTGAGTAACAGCTACTTAAAAATTTTGTTGGGCGAAAAAAAAGTTGGCCATATTATGGTTAGCTATAAACAACGATTTTAGCCAAAATTTTTTGCCCACAAAACTATAAAACTTTTGTCTGAAACGTTTTTTTTTTATAAAAGGCGGTATTTAGCTGTAACACTTTAATTTGAACACCCGGTATAATGGAACCACAACACTCGTTTTAAGAAAAGGAGGAAAAGTACCTTCATTAAAACTTTTATTTATTAAAATGGGGAAAATGTCTAATGCAGAGGTAGGTAAGTTTTGAAATATTTTTACTGTTACATATAAGCAAAAACATAGTTGGTACCACTGTTAGGTACCTAGTGCACATGCACTCATTTCTCCTATACGAGGTACAAACCTCAACGACTCTCTCGTGTGTCAGCTCTCGAACCGTAAACGTATGTGGCGGAGTAAAAGTTAAGTAATGTACAAACTGCTGTGATATTAGAATAATAAACTCTGTGATCCCAGTGTTAGTGTTTGCTATTCCTTCCCAAGCTTCCCGAATTATTTTTAATTAAATTTTTCAAATTTATTATCCCATTCTCGTCGCCATTGTTGCATTTGTGGATTCGTGAAGCTTGGGAAGGAATAGCAAACACTAACACTGGGATCACAGAGTTTATTATTCTAATATCACAGCAGTTTCTACATTACTTAACTTTTACTCCGCGACATACGTTTACGGTTCGAGAGCTGACACACGAGAGAGTCGTTGAGGTTGTACCTCGTTGCGCATACCAGTTTCCCACCCCTGACCTCGTTTAGGAGAAATGAGTGCATACGCACTAGGTACTTAACAGTGGTACCAACTATGTTTTTGCTTATATGTAACATACTGACATTTCATCATATCCTGATGCAGTTTTGTTGTGTATGTCATTACAAACTTTTAATATTTCTAACGAATTTGTTTCTCTTAAGAAAAATGAGTATTTAATTGGTGACGATTTTACAAAATCCAATAGGTCAATTGTTCTATTTAGATTTTTTGTTGCATTTTCATCGATATTGCAATAAAATGTATTGAAAGGATTTATATTTGTATTGCATGATTTATGGGTACTTTTTCCTCTCAATTCATTAATAATAGACCATAAGTTTCCTTTGCCTTTTTTTGAGCTCTCAATTCTTGTATGATAATACATTTCTTTAGCTTTTCTAATAAGTGTTCTATATATAAAGTTCTATTGCGATAATAGTAGTTTGAAAATAATTCTGTTTGTGTAATTTTTTTTATATAATTGAGAGATCTCATATTTTTTAATGAACATTATAAAAAAGCTGTAATCCAAGTCTTTCTTTGCTTAATTTTTATATTTTTAATAGGGAAAGAAGCATTAAAAAATTTGTTAAGTTTAAATAGAAATCATTAAAAGGAGATATAGTAATATACCAATTAAAATTTTTTCATACTGAATGAAATTTTCCATAATTAGATTTACTAAACAATCGACCATGACGAGAATTAATAAAATAGCATACAATTAATTCTATAGCGATAAAATTCGCGTTAGTCTAAACATGTATGTATGTTACACTATAAACAGTATTCGCGGTTGTCGCAGAATTTGGTCTGTAGAGCCTAAATATATCGCTCATTTTCTGCAAGAACGTCATAAGTCAAAAAAAAATTCAATTTTTGAGTGATTGGCACATTACAGATCATAGAGTGTCACATCTGTACTTTCTATAATTGCCATTAGATACCGCTTAAATCGGTACAAAGTTTTTATTCTCATCTCAATGCTATAAATTCAATATCGTCATGCTTCAGTTTTTGATGAAGTGTTGTGATGGAAGTAGTGTTTTGTTTCGTATTTTGACTATACTTTTGTTGTAATACGTTACTCTCCTCGCTTGTTTGCGGAATATGGACAGTACTCAAAAAAACTGTAAATGATTGATTTAACATAATTAATCTTGAAAAGTGTCAATGGTAGTAGAGCCGTCAAGTGAATTCACCCCCTTACAAGTGAATTTTAACCCTTGAAGTCGACTGAGTTTGTATGGGGAAAGAACGGCTTAATAATTTATTATTTGCCGTGGCGCTCCAGGGCTACTTAAAGATGATTGGCTTAAAGGCGAGAAAAATCCGCAAAACCTCACCCACCATCACTATTAACTACGTTGTTTCTGTATAAAGAATTATAAATTCTGGCTCAAATCTCAATGACCCCGGCACCTCTTTCCTATTGGTCTGAGGTATTTTTGACAAGTCTGGGGTCACCAATCGGCACTTTAGTTGCTAACACATGAGAAAAATGACATCTAAAAGTAAAAAATATTCAGATTTTAAGCCACTTGAAGACAAAATAGTGTGGTTTTTAAAATAATGTTGACCTCGATGTCTCCTCTCTATTGGTATGGAGTATTTTTGACAGGTCTGGCGTCACCAATCGGAACGTTGGTTGCTGTCACATGAGAAAAATAACATCTAGAAAATTGTTTAGAGTGAGATTACAGAACGTCTGCAACTTTGCAGATCTGCAAATATATGGCGGCAACTTTGCAGATCTGCAAATATGGCGGACTTACATGTGCATGTATCAAGTTTTTGTATTCCAAAAAAGGTCTGCAAATTCGCAATATTATTGTGGTTTATTATCCCCAACAACACTAAACCCAAATCCATTACTATGTTTAAAAAATCGATAATCTGACACCATGAACTGTATTCAATCAAAAGAAACAGAAGACTTCATGGTTGTAGGATGTTATTCTAACCTTCTTAAGGGTGGATTTGGATTTAGTGTTGTTAGGGGTAATAAATATTGCGAATTTGCAGATATTTTTTGGAAACTTTCATCTGTAAGTCCGCCATATTTGCAAATCTGCAAAGTTGCCGCCATATTTGCAGATCTGCAAAGTTACAGACGTTCTGTAATCTCACCCTTAATATTTTTGTAGTTTTTCATTCCACAGACCTTCATGATGTAGTTTGTACAGATCTATAACAAAATTAGATCATAAATAAATGTTTGTACCAAAAAGAGAAATGATCAAGAAGTTAGGTTATATTAGATTAGATACATTTACCCGCGAAAACATTTTAAATATTCAAGGTCACAGACTTTCAGATCGATTGACATTTGAGTGCGATTTCTTGTGTTAACTATACTCTTTGCTTAAAGGCTATTTTAAGGCTCAATTCAAAAAATTATGCTACTCGTTTTTTACAAAAATTAAGGTGCTCTGCTGTCTTCTTTGGCATTCCACTTTTATTTGACCCCCTACATAAAAAGGTTGCCCATATGCCTGATTTAAACTATTAACAATGGGCAAATTTATAAAAAAAATACGTAAGCCTTGATAGCCTTTGAATCGTGAATCATCCACCCAAATCACTACAGCATGGCGCGCCACCGGCACCGATACTAACAAAAGGCTTTAACTATTCCTTTCCAGTTAAATGGAATTAACACCCAAGGTGAAAATATAGCGGACAACGGAGGGATCAAAGAAGCCTACATGGCCTACGAAAGATGGGTCGGCAGAAATGCAGCGGAACCATTTTTACCCGGACTTAATTACACCGACAGGCAAATGTTTTGGATATCAGCGGCGAGTATTTGGTGTTCGCAAACTAGAAAAGAGGAGTTACAGCAAATGATCATCACGGATGAACACGTTCCGGATAAATTTAGAGTCAATGGACCTTTATCCAACATGGACTTATTTTCTAGAGATTTTAATTGCCCTTCGGGGTCTGCAATGAATCCCGCGCATAAATGTCACGTTTGGTAATCGCGGGATTTTTATTCGTCCTGTTATTAGGACTTGCAATTTTAAATGTTTCAAACTGGCGGCTTTTTGACCGTCCATACCAGTTTTCGTCACAATTTTAGGCGGAATTTTAAATAAATGACATATCTGTAATTGCGCGAAACTCGAATATCTTAAAAGCTATTTTTATTTTTATACAAACGTATTGAAGAAAAAACGATTTGATTGGAAAATATATTGTGAACAATATTAATAAATATTTTTATATGTATGACTACCAAAAAAATTAAATAAACTCAAAAGATTAAATCGTTTAAAAAAGTAATTTGATTGAAATTAAAATTGTTTTATTATGAGGAGAGCAGAAATTTCAATATTCGACTACAATGGAATTTGTATATAGAGAAGGGTAAAAAGGCTTAATGCCTAATTTGTAAGTAACTATAGCTTTAAACTGTAATAATTTTACCCTTCTGAATATATTTATAATTGTCATTTAAATTTTATTTTTAAATAGAGGGTATTCATTGGCAATTTTTTCTAGTAAAAAAGTATCAAACATTGCTTAAAGGAGGGGTAGATTTTTATTCCTCTTCATCACACTAACCAATTTAAATAGGAAAAGTTTAAGTATAACATTTAAATAGGAAAAGTATTAAGTATAACACATTATTAAAAAGGGAATTTTATGGATAATTAAGCAATATGACTCTTACTTTTGAGTTTAGCACCCTCAAGGATAAAAAAAACGGTTATGTGTAAAGTGTAACATTTTACTATACGTAACAGTCTTTTATCTTGCTAAAGGGCGCTAAAATACCACAATGGACAGTCATATTAATGAATTTTCCATTATATTGTACCTTTTCAATGGATTGTCATACTATTATATTTAAATTGTATTGATTAGTGTGATGACATTTGAGAATATGATAGAAAAGTGTACCTCTTGGAATAAAAATCTACCTGTCCTAAGCAATTTTTTATATTCTTTATATTAGGGAGATATTGCCAATGATGTTTTTAAATTGACACCCTGTATCTGATGAGTGACGATAAATATTGTTTATTGTAATTTTGGGTACTTCGAGAAAAATTATAGAACATCCTCAGTAAAAGTTGATGGACATTGATCTTTTAAAAAACCGATTAGAATGAGTGGACCACTCAATACAGATTTTTATCAATTTAAACAACTTAAATTCCCAAAAATCAATTAATAAATACAGAATTTTAAATTATTGGATGTTGTAGTTCTTTATATAATACACCCTGTATAAGAAATATGTACTGTATAATATTTTGTCACCAAAATACTATATTAAGTAATACTTTTTGAAAATACGCTTCCCGGCGTCAGAGTTGAATTAGTGAGAGTTTGCAAAAAGCTACCGTCATACATTTGTGAATCACCTTGATATTATAAATATTATTAATTTTACGTATACAGGGTAGAGAAATCATGTGCAGCCCCCTAGGCAAGGATGGCGCCATCCCTAAAATCTTAAAAAGTGTAACAGGAGCTTTTTATAGTCTATTTTTATGTATGAGAGAGTAATAAAACAGCATTTCTAATGCAAAACTTAGTACGGTCATTTTAAATATTTTTACAGAATAATCTAAATATTTCCTAAAATTGTAATAAATGTACCTGAGCTATTACAAGTTTTAGATCTTTTATTGGTCCTTTATAAACATAAGCTGTACAGAACAATAGAAAAAGGTTTGGACAGGCCAAAAGCCCTGTGTATTAAAGATTACATAGCCGTATCTTAAGATTATTTTCAATAAGTACCTATTTGCCAATTTTGTTTTATTTTAATTTCAAGAATTTCTTACAGTAATCAAATTATAAGTAGATAAATACCTTCCCAACAAATTTCACCGAAAATGCGATTATAGGTTTTCCATTTAGTAAGGAGGTCCAAGTTGTGTATTCTTGACAGTTTACTAAATGTCGTTTAGTTGCAACTTGCAAGGTGCAGTGTGAATTCTAGTGTGATCATGGAAAATTTGGAAGGGCCGCGTAAACGACAAAAAATCGGTCCTTTAACAGTTAATGAAAAAAACATTAATATTTAATTGTTTTAAATCATTTACAGACAAACATTTATGTAAAAGTGTTGATGACACAGTGGAATTAGTTAGTAGTACGCTTGGTGTTGGGAAATCTACGATTTACAGAGTTGTTAAAGAAGAGAAATGTGGCGAGTTTCAAACAGCACGTAAAGCTCCAGGAAAACCAAAATTTCAATTAGAAAATCTTTTGAAAGAAAGACTTCGAAGGAAAGTGCATGCGTTCTTCTTCAGAAAAAAATTTCCGACAGTAGACAAAGTTCTTGCCACGGTTCGAGTTGATAAGGATTACCCTGAAATGAGTCGAAGCACACTATGGAGACTTTTAAAAGAAATAGGTTTTCTATGGAAAAAGCATTCCAGAAAGTCTAT